TTGTAGGTCTTTGGTGCTGGTCTGTGGGTTGACTCTGGCTGTTCTCAACATCCTTCACTTCTGTTTATTCCAGATTTGTCTTGGTCTGCCACTTAAAGCCTACACTTGAACTGTGCCTGTGGTCTTCCATTTTCTCACAATGTTTCTCACAGTGGAGACTGAAAGCTGAAATCTCTGAGATAGCTTTCTGTATCCTTCCCTAAACAAAGATGGTGAATAATCATTGTTTTCAGATCATTTGAAAGTTGTTTTCAGACTCCCATGCTGCCGCTCTTTAGAGAAGATGCAGAGGAGAAAAACCTACAATTGCCCCCCTTAAATATCCTTTCTCATAAAAAGAGTCACCTGTGTATGGAGGCCAAGGGTCACTGAACTTACCAAACCAAATTTAAGTCCCAATAATTAGTTGTAAAGGTTTTGAAATCAATAAAATGAAAACAGTGCCCAAATTTATGCACCTGCCTAATTTAGTTTAACCAATTATTGGAAACGTTCTGTAAATCATTTAAACTTCATTCCACTTCTCAAATATCACTGTGTTTGTCCCCTATATGATATATTTAACAGTTTTTTAATCCAAACAATCAATGATTTATAAAGGTAAATCAGGAAAAATAACAAGGCTGCCCAAACTTTTTCATATGACTGTACATATCAAATCAGTATCACAACCTCATGCAAAAGCTCAGACTCCTTCCCTACCAGAGAACTAACGTTCCATACTCCAAGACCCAACGTTGTTTAGCCAGGGTCAGAGTGCCAGGGTCCCAAATTTTATCTACTGTCCATGACACCATGCACCCAACTCCTATGGCCCCTCCTGTCAGTGGTGGGCAAACAGGAAGGCCAAACCATGTAGCTCAATTAGGCTGAGCCTGATTAGGTCCCATTAGTAAAAACCTGGTCACCAGACACTCATCGATGAGCCCCTCTGCCAGACCAGCCTCCCGGGTGGCTTTTATTAGATGCTTAAAATCCCTTTGGATGGGAAAAAGACCCACAAGAAAGGCAGCAATCGTAAATACGGTAGTTAATTTATTGTGGTAGGAATTTTATGTTACCATCACTGAAGAAATCAAGAGTTGTTTGTCTCCACAGCAGTTAAAGCTGATGTCTCTTTTCTTTGTTTGAAGCTGTTCTACATGTCTGAGTTCACATGCAGCATTTGATTCATTACACTATCAGAATTAAGGGGGAGAAAACACTTAAAAATAACAATTGGAAGAAAACCAAACATCCTACCACTACAGTCCCACAGTCTGAAAGGTTAGTTTTGATGCTGAAAACATAGTTGTCGTCAACTTCAATTCCACGGCACTCAGGATCATTTAAATGCAAATCCCAAACCTAAGAGACAAACACAGTGAGAGTTAAAGATATTAGGTAAAGTATGTTGCTTTTACTTGTAGTAAAGATGGGACATTATGCAAAATGTAAATAACAAAATTCAATTATTCCCAAACCTAATAAAACTGTATTTTATTTCCAGTGGAACATAGTAAACATATCAAGTAAAATAAAAAAAAAACAAATGTAATTTTGAATTTAATGTCAGTAACACAAAAAACATTGAATCCTGTGCAACAAAAAGGTGTAAAAGTCAGTGATGCAAAGGAAGCATTATCTAACTAATCAGCTTAATTATCATCAGGTCAGTCTGAGGACTGAGTATGAAAAAGGACAATCAGAGGATGAATCATTCTAAGAGGGGCAGAGGTTCACCAGTCTGTGAAAAATTGTGACTAAACATAATGAAATGAAATACTGTTCCTCAAAAGAAAAACTGTGAAGTCTTAAAATCTTTCATCATCTATAGTTTATATTCTCAGCAAATGATTTAAACAATTTGAGAAATCTTTGAGTCCAAAAGGGCACGGCTAAAAGTCAACACAGGGAGAAAACCAAACAAACAAACAAACAAAAAATACCTCCAGAACTGGTTTCCTCAGTTTCTTAATTTTACAGACTATTGTTAGGAGTAGATGCTTTACTACATGACACCTGTCTGTGTTTTTAAAGGAGACCAATTATGGGTCCTAGAAATTTTTATGGTATGTCTGTGGGCTATKCAGACCATGTTCATTCAATTTAATGCACAAAATAATTCTCAGATAATAAAATTTCCCATTTTCTAGTTCTGCCTGCTCTGACTTCTGTTCAGAAGAGCTGTTTATGTTAATGAGCTCTGTTGGTAACGCCCTCCAAAAATCTGTTGACATTAACTCCGCCCTCCAAAGCCAGCGTTTACGTTAGCATGGCTAATAATAGCAGAAGCTCRGTTGTACAACCATATGAGACCCAGAGGCAGAGACGGGAGACGGTCCCAGCTTCGTTTTTTCTCCCCCTCCTCTGCTCTGCGCTCACTCTTCATGCTGTTACCAGAGCAGGGAGCAGCAGTGGTCAAAATACCTCAGAAACTCGAACAAATAGGCTTTAACAAGGCTTTAATAAGCTAAACAATAGAGGTACATGGGAAAACGTCTTCATAACGAATGAAAATAAATAAATAATTAAATTGTGTCTGTGCTGGTCTCGAACCCTGGTCTCCCACTCTACCCATTGCCCTATTGGAAGCTTGTTGTGAACAGAGCTGCACATTGCACAACAACACGGTGACGGCTTTTTATATTGAGGAGGAGGAGTCTCACCCAGGGGTTGCTAGATAAGGGGCTGAACCAGGTTCCGGTGGGTTGTCGTATGGCTTGTGACATCACAAAATGATGGAAGTATAAAACTTGTCATTAATATACATTAAAAATACATTTACTTACAGTAAATATGCCCCTGGGTGCATTTTTTTGGTCCTAGGACTGTATTTTTAAGAAGTACATATACAAAGTTGAGTAAAAAAAACCTTTAAAAAGTGAATTTTGCATAATAGTTCCCCTTGGGATCCCTGATTAGTTGTAACATTAGACTTTATTTAATAAACATATATTTTAACTGTAAAATAAAGACTGTAAAAATACTGTAGGATGTTT